AGGGACTTTCCGGCGTGCCGTCCGAAGCGCCGAGCCTCGAGGAAGAGGGCGCCCTCGCCTTCGTCGGAGGGGCGCGGCGCCACAGAGGTTTCAACAGTCAAGTTTCCATGTTAGAAAATATGTCAGTAAATACTCAATATCTGCTGACCCCAAATGCCTAAAATTTGACAGGATGTATTCACGTTTGCACTGAATACTGGACAGATGTTGGTCTTGGGCAATCAAAATACCCCAGCGAGTTGAGTGTTTAAAATTATATCACCTTTCTTATCCACAATTAATTAAATCAGCAAGGACTTCAACACAAAATGTCTACAGTTTTCACGATGCTTGGCATAATAAATACTAGAAGTTTCTGGTGTTTACAGAGTTACAGTTACATGTATTGATATACATTCATGTATAATAATACATAGACATTCTCAAGGACAGAATGGTAGCTAATGTCTGCCTCATAGGGATTGCAAACATCAAAAAACTTCCTCTATCACTCGAGTTAAATGGATCATCAAAATCTGAACTTTGACTAGGATGTTCGTAATCCTTAAACACATTACCATGAATCGGACACTTAGCACAGAATATTTGTTAATTAACTCTAGCACTCGCTGCAATACATTTCAAAATGGACTTAAACAAGCAATTTTGACCTTTTAAAAAAAATCATCAATATCAATGAATAACTTACAGTTAATCTTCTTTTGCTTCACTTAGAGTTTTCGCCCATCGCCTGGTCCAGAACTTCTCCACACAAAAGGCCAAAAGTGGCATAAAAGGAGTGCCAAACTGGCGCAAAATTCCACACAGCACAAAATTACACTCTGAGAGCACACAGCTCAACTTGCATGTCAGCACGAAGCATCAGCTCCACTCTGGAACACAGGCAACTACGTACAGACAGGGCCTGCAGTGAATCCTACACTTCTCGTGTCTAGTGCTAGTGGTGTTCTGCTTCTGGGGCAACGCCCATGCTAAACGTATACCAGCCTAGAGACAAAGCATGCCCTGCATCCTACTATACCCGGTACATTATTCTAGCCCACTAGAGAATAGAGATAGGGCCTACATTGTCTAGCCCACTATAGTCCCAAATTCGCAATAGTCTACCTAGATGAACTATGGCCTCACTAATCCTTAAGTGCACTGAATGAAAGGAGGAAGATTCTTCAACTACTGGCTTTCCACACCTGAATCTAAATAATCTGGCTGGGGAGAACATGACTGAAATACTTTACTGTACAGCACGTGTGTTTCACCCCCATTCCACGTGTGGAAATTAACTTGTGACAAAGTTAACAAGCGATCACATTGAAACTCCTTGTATACGCTCTAGAAGGCTTAAACCGAATAAAACACCACAGAATCATGAAAGGAAATGCTACGTAAATATGAAATTTAGCCTCAAAGCGGTTGCTAAGATGATAAATTATTTCCATTTTCAATCAATCACTTGGTCTTTGTTTCCACTAAATTTCTCAATTTTAGAAGTTTTCGCAGAACAGTAAAACACAGAAAGGCCAAAATTTCAACTACACAATACAATCAGTTATATGCAGCTAGATTTTTTTGTTCGACTCTCGTGAGTTATATTTGACACTTCTGTGTTTTACGTGCATAAACCGATATCCAGCCACGTACCGTGCACGGACACTGCGGCCTGTTGCGCGTGTACATGTGCATGTACAGGTTCGTGGAATTTTTTGACCGGAGCCGGTATATTCATGTGGTTCATGCGTGTATAGTATAAATGTAAAACTGGGGATATATACCGTAAATTTCAAAATTTTCCTGGCAATTTTATAATGACAGACAGATCTCGGTTTCAATAGTAAACTTCATGTTAACTTGCTGTACTTTTATGTTCGTCTCGCAAGGCCGTAAGATTATGCGGGATGAACGGAATCCGTGCTGAGTTAGGTCGATATGAAAAAAATCTAGCGCAAAACCGTAAGCAAATTTAAAACCTTCACACCTTTCTCCACCACCGCCCACCTTTGGAAACTTAGGGAAACCTTCGAATTCTTGGTTTAGAGGCTTCAAAAATCGCATCGAAACGTAAACAAATTACCGCTTACGAAAATAGTTCTCACAAAAATCAATAGTTTTGACCACTCTGGTACTATTTCTCAATTTTATTTTCACAAAACACGCTATGAAAAGGCCTTTTCTTACCTTGAAAATGTTTTGGGCAGGAATTTTTATTTCCAGAAAGTGAAAATAAGATGTAAATTTCATGAAATGAAGCAGCTGTTTGCCTGGCACGAATTCCCATGGCCCATCACGCATGCAAATGACCCTAAAAAGGGGACATGCGCAGTTAATAATTTCCCTCTGAAACATGTCTGTACACCAAAACAAAGATGCCAGAATTCAAGAAAGCAAAGGTTTAAAAGGGAAAAAAAGAATCTACTCACGACACACATATATTCAACATCTTGGTCGATCCATATTACTTTGCCGCAAGTTGATGCCAGGTATGGTTCTAACGAACATAATTATTGACAGTCAGTACGCAGCACACTCGTACGGTTACAAGAACGGATGAGATTATTGATTACCTTGAGAGAAATCAGAATGCACGCCAACAAGTAGAACTCATCGAAATCTATGCGACCAGATCCATCCACATCCAGCATGTCGAAGACATTGTAGATGTGGGCCTTGCTCAGGTCAGTCACGGCATGCAGAAAGTTGTAGAACTGTATGTCTACCAGCCATGGACAGGGAATATTAAACATTACATTGTGCCAGCCCCACAAAATAGGGCTGTGGTGGCTCGCTTTTACAATCCTGTCTCTTATCTGTCGCCACCACAAGAGACAAGATTGTAAAAGCGAGCCAGTACAGCCCTATTTGTGGGGCTACGTGTAGGCCTACTCATTATCTTCGACTTCTTCGCCTACAAAATGATTCTCTCAATCGGTTGAACAAGTTCTCACCGTTCAAGGACATTTCGTTGTGAACGTCCAGTAACTTGAAGTATTCGAGCAGTATATTGACGTTCTTGCCCGACAGCATGCTGTACGTTTTATCCAAATGCATGCACTGTAAAATTCCCGCCTTTATTTTCATTTTCTGTGGACTTTCGTTTCAAAAGCCAAGTAACCCTGCTCAAAGAGCACGTGCGTTTGCACACATACATTTAAAACTCCTGCGCGCTTCGATAAGGCACGCGCGACGTTCTGGCAGGGAAAGCGCCATTCTCCGGCGCTTGGGAACTGGGGCAGCACCACGGACGTATACACAAAAAAACCGGACTTGCAACGCCTTTGTATGAAATAGAAGCCAACCAGCGGCCATTTTACTAAGCCGAATACAAATGCGCGGATTGGCTCGCCTCTATTGACGCCAGGGAGAACAAAGGGGGGCATTGCTGGGCAAGCTTTGTATTTGGCTCGGTAAAATGGCCGCTAGTGGATTCAATGATCTCTATAAGCTGATTAAGGGCATTGGGAGTCCAGATTTTTTATATACGTCCATGTGCAGCGCTGACAGGAATCTGTGGTATTTTCAAAGTAATACGGTTTATTCATTCAAACACTACTGTAGCTTTGAATAAGCTTCTTCCAAAAGATGCGCAAACGTCATAAATTTGAAGACTCAGGCACATTGAAATGAGAAGCAGTTACAGTTTTAGAGGTGGGAGGAAAACCCACAGAATCAAGTAGAAAACCCAATCCACATGTGGACCGAGCCGGGAATCGAACCCGGACCGCAGCGGTGGACGGCGAGGAAAGAAACACTACACCAGCCCGACTATGTAAAGGATGACTTACTAAAAAAAACCCGCTTGAGTAGCGTCCAGTGAAATTGTCCTCGGTCGCAGGAGCAAAAACTTTTTTGCAGCATTGCATTTTCATCGACGAAAAATAACTATGTCATAAAAAGAAATAAGAACGGTTCCAAGATGCAAGCAATTTAATGGTCATTAACAGGCTAATGTCACAACTACATGATACACTTAAGAAAAATGCGACCAAAACATGACAAAGCTACAACTAGCTCCAATTTTACAGAGCAAGGCAATTACTTATCAACAATTTTTGCTAGGCAAAAATATAGTCAAGAACGAGTCACGTGGAATACAAATCAGTAAGTGAATTATCTGAGGAAAAAAATGAAAGAAAAGAAAAAGAAAAAAAACTTGAAATCTGATATAAGCACCAAACTGGACATATTACTATTTGGGAACAAGAACCTATTCTTCAACAATTTCCATAAGAGGAAAACGTATGCCAATAAAAAGTTTTGAAATTTAATCGAATCACCTGTGCTTTGCCATAACAGAAAAATCTTTAGTTGTCTGTAAAAGGTCAACCTTTTCCCACAAAGAAATGTGTTCTTCACAAAACTACAATACTCAAAAGAGTGAATAAATACAACCCTTGTTTTGTCTTCATTTCTAAAAAAAATGTCACCATCCAGGAAAAATCTACGAGATTAATTTCACAAAACTTCTGGAACGTTAAAAATTTTGAATATTGACTAACATTCAACAATATTTTAACTAGAAAATTTCTGTACATTTACGTAAAGACAATGTTTCTGGCAAGGAAAACCAGTATATAAACCACAATAGAAGAGGACTGGGGATGAAACAGTGAGAAGCGAGTTGACAAGCGTTCAGGCTTTTTTTAAAATTATTTTTTCATTTTTCCCTTCCCACGTTAAAAAAAGTGTGTGAAATGTGGTTGATTTACTACTAAGTTGCTTTGGCCAATAAATCAAAATGCTGCAATTTTACAAAGCTGGACGAGAAGAAATCAGGAGAAATATTTACCACTGTTTCATTTATCACTAACTTAAAACTTAAGCAGGTGAAAAGCACTTGTTACTGTGTCTCAAGTATTGTGGAAATGGAATAGAGAACATGCTAAGGTTGGACAAATGGAATTGTGAGATCTGTTGTGATGCAAACCATGTAATTCTTATCTAAGGGCCTTTATCACTTAGGAAAGTCTTCACAAATATGTGGACATGGCTGAATCTAGTCTTGTCAGTCATCAGCACAGTACAGTTACCTTGTAGGCCATGCACTGCCTTCAGAAGTTACTGCATACAGAGGACAGGAAAGCTACTTGCCAACAGGACACGGCACATGTGAGGACATCTTCAACACAACTCAAGGATCATTTATGGCACATGTACTGTTTCGAAAGCAGTTTTGTTGATTGTGTGGGCTCATGAGGGGGTCTGGTAGTGGGTGGGCGCTTCAAGCAGGGAGAGAACGGCAGGACTCTGATTGGCTTCTGAAACAAGCGAGATATAAACACTTCTCCAGACCATTCTCCAGACGGTCATCTAAACTGATGACAGCGAATACTTGGAGCATCTAGTTCTGGGTAAGATCGTCCTCCAGAAAATCTTTCGCTTGATCTTTGGAGATGACGTCAATGTGACTGACCTGAAATACAAACAAAAAGGCCAAAGGTAACCATCCTCAAAATGGCCCATTGAAAAAATTATAATAGTTCTTACTTTCATACCTAAAGCCTGGTTTCCATATCGATGTAAGAAACGCAGAGAGCAACGCAATCAAGACGCAAACTGCAATGCAGACATATGGAAACATGCCAAAAGGAGGTGTCGCCGACAACGCAAACCAGCCTGCAAACAATCAGCAAAGTTGAGTCAGGTTCAACTTTGCCACCATGCATACCTGCCAATTTTGGAAAGTCAAAAATAGGAACACATCTGCGAGCGCGAAGTACGAAGCCCTTACGGCGTGGGATCTGGGGCCTGCTTAAGGTTCCCAGAAAATTTTGGATTCTAGATACTCCGTAGCGCAATCTGAGGTAATTCCTGGCACATTTCCCTCAGTTTTGGGAGGCAACAGTTTTTTAAAATTTGAAAAATTCCCTAGTCATTGTCAACTCTTCCCATACCTTCTCAGGTATGGAACTTGATGCTTGTGACGGCTCCCTCTCTGCATCCACATGGAATGACTGATATGTTGCCTCAAATCTTGCAGAATGCAAAAAACTCACCCTTACTTGATGTTGTTATGAATTGAAACTGCTCTTTGCATTCGTCCCTAAATCTTAGCAAGCGTTGTAGCTTCTTATCCTTCTCCATATCGCTGTACAAACTCATTAAATCCCGCAACAATTTTCTATTTGAACCGAGGTTACACCACCTAACATGCCTGATCACGACCACACGCGCGCAAAGGAAAGTAACGTTAGATGCGAGTGTCGCTACACAAAACGGCGACCGATGAGAAAAAAGCCAGTGGCGCCCTTTTTTCCCTGTACATTAGTGCCCTCTTTTGCCACAACTCTTTATGTTTTTTTATTATTTTTTTTCTATTTTGTTGGAAATCAGAATGTTCCCAGTTTTTGCTCTCTGTAAACTTAAAAACTGGGACAATTCTGATTAAATCGGAATGGTTGGCAGGTATGAACATGTCTGCGTCGAGTAGCCATGGTATCCTAACACCATGACTGTCAATGAAATGCATGAAACTGGAGTAGAGATTTGGCACCATGAAGCGGTACAGTCAATCGCAAAAAATCAGAGTTTCGGACACCATTTTGTTTCAATTTTGGGGCGGAATGACGTCATGCACCGTCTCTTTTGCTTGTGTCTGCGTCAGCATTGAAAAGAACCCACTGCATCAATGGGTCTGGAATAGGTGAAAAACAAAATACCACTTACTTTACACATTTGTGCATAAAAATTAAGCTTTTTGGGCTTTGGAATATTATTACTGTATTAACAAAAATTCCACTTCAATATGTAACTTCACTTTCATTACTATTATTTTTTTTTTTACAAAACTGGGCTTGTTATTGAGATGCATAAGTTCTGTGTTCTTTACACAGACAGCACATGAACTACTGTGTAGAAAAAAAAATAGTCACCAGAGGAATTCAGAAAATGAAATTTGTCAATGATTTGGCAATAATACATAATACTGAATAATAATTTGTCCAGCTCAGGGCCCACTTTGAACAAAGCCCAACAGCTTTAAGTGGCCACGAGAGAGTGACTTGCCACAATCAAACTTGTACAAACCTTGTTCCTGAACTTGACACCGTAGAATTTGTCTGCTGATTCAAGGAGCTCTGGCCTGAAGGTGGTGGTGATAAACTGAGCATTGCTGGCTAACTCGTGGAGCATGTCTTTAAGTAAACAATAACAGTTGCAAATGTTTTAAAAACCACTTGCAGATACATGTATTTGCAAAAGAGCCCAACTGTAGCCAGTGAGAAATGGAAAAAATGGCAGTTAGGAAAGATTTTTTAAACTCAAAATAATAAACTTGCATTTCTTTGGAGAGCAATTCCACACAAGGTGGAAATTTGGTCATGCTGTTACTCACCTCATTATTAATAACTGTAATTCATAAAAACACAAAATGTTGTACAAAAAAAGCAGAAATAAAAGCAATGGTACTACTTATCGTTACTTCCACAGCCTTTTTTTTCAAACAAAGGTTTACCTGTGATAATGTAGCTGGTAGCAGCATGACCAAATCTCCCCTTTTGCATGGAATTGCCTGCGTGTGTTACTTAAAGGCCTGTTTAATATGCCCAACAAAACATTCAGAACTTCTTATGAATATCCCTAAGAGCTCTGTTGTGAGTTTCACGAGCATCAACTAAAAAGGAATCCAGCACCCACCTGCGACCGACTTCCTGTGCTGGGCGTCTAGGGCCGAGTCGATCTCGTCAAAGAGGTAGAATGGGGCGGGATCACACTTCTGGATGGCGAAGATGAGTGTGAGTGCCACCAGCGACTTCTGGCCCCCACTCAGCTGCTGCATCTCTCTGGTCTCGCTGGTTTTGCCTGAGAACGACACCTGCAAGCAACAGCCAGTGGTGATTAGCATTGCAGTAACTCAACCAAATGCACCAGTAGACAGCCTAAACATACATTTAGGTGAGGCTTGATCATCAGAAGGATTTCAAGTCAACAAGCAATTTCAAAGATCTTCCTACTTCCTGGTCCACAATGTCCATGGGTAAAATGACTCCTGGCCGCAAAATCCTAACTTGCACTTACAGGTTCCCATTTTTGCTTTTACTCTCTACAGTCTAAAAACAATAGCAATTAAAACTGAATATTGCGTTTCCATGGCAACGTTTCACAAAATCTGTTGAGGTGCATGAAAGTCAACAAAGCAGGTATTCAGACCTTCTTACCTTAATCCCAACGCCAGTGAACTGTTCAACGAGGGGTACACCAGCTTGAGACGATTCCCCTTCCAGCTACAAAAGCAAACACAGAGACATGCTCCACATTCAGGACGATTCAACCGACTGATTCATATGGAATCATACCAGAATCACAAAACCACGGTCTTGTGGTGAGAATAATGTCTTCCAGAGTCAACAGATTTCACTTTCTGAGTAAGGACAGAAGTGTTTTCCCAAGTCTACGACTGAATGTCCTCTCACCTCTTGCGAGGACTCACTGTCTCCTTTCTTCATGACCAATGTTGCCTTGCCGGAAGGCACCAGCTTGCTGAAGACCTCGCTGAAATACTTGGAAACTTGCTTGAAGGTCAACTGGATGGCTTCGTACTTGCGCAGCTCTAGCACATTCATCAGGTCTGTGATGGACTAAGAGAGGAATCCACATCAATGATTATTTTCAATGATTTAAACTCATTAAAACTCATTCTTGTGACCGTGGATCTTGCCTGGACAGTGCAGAAACCAATGCACGGAGGGTCATGATTGATACGGAGAAATTTAATTCATGCCACATCATGTTACCTTTTGTTAATCGGTATTAACCACTCGGTACCGGGTTCCCGGTACCGGAGACCTAGGGTTTGTACGCATAGCCGAGTGCCTGAAATTGGACAAAGGAGCTGGGCCTTGTAACAAAAGACCGTACTCGGAACGAAAGACCGAGCTGCTGGGAATTGCCAACATTTTTCATCATAGAGTGCTGGCATTAGTGGAGGTAATCCGTCATTGTTTTGAAACAGTATACCGCTGTTTGTGGCTTTCAGCGCCCTTGGATCATCAGCGGGGACAAAATTGCTTCAGCACTCTAGCTATGAGCGATACAGTACTGCTGCACGCTACTCTGACTGCATTTGAAAAGACACCACTTCCATAGGTCAATTTCAGGAACAAAGGAAACTACGCAACACTGCACAAGGTGGGCTCTCTTTATTGGGTGGCAGGCCTAGCTGCAATACTTGGGCGTCAACAGAGGTTGCCTGTCAGATTAGAGTTGCTATCAGACAGTCATTCGAGTGGGTGTAAGTGTCCGGTAAATGAAGTTATGAATTTTTGAAGAATTTTGGAAGCGAAAATCCTGAAAATCACCCGCAAACTCATCCCGCATGTGCAATTCCACCCAACAGGTTGTGGTTAAAGCAAAGGTGTCATAAATATGTGTGCTGCACAGCCTGTCTTGATTCGTTCTGTTTTCTTTGATTTTTCCAAGTTGCTTGGTGTTACTGAGAGTTACTTGAGGTTGTTGGCTTGCCTTCTTTCTTGTTCCACTTTTGTTTTTTCAGATAGGTGGACTAAAAGACTTACAGCATGTCCTTTGTCCAACTCGTCCTTCCGACTGATCAGCTTCTCTTTCTGTTCAGAGAAGTTGACAAACTGATCAAGGGCCTTCTTGTTGACGTGGCTGTACTTCTTGAGCTCCGAATTGCACTGCTCTAGTTTCTTGAAGAGCTGCTTCAGGGACAGGTGGGTGTACTTCTCAAAGGCGTCACTTGGCAGCGAGCCCAGCTCGCGGATCTTGCGCATGCACTCCTCTTTCTGCAAGGCATAAAAAAAATGACAAATCAATCAAAACATTCTGATAAGATGGAATGTAAATTGTTTTGGTTGATTACTCCCTTGTCTAACAAAGTTTTCATCAGCTTATCAATCATTCTTTTACTTAATAAATACAGAATATTTCTTCTCATACATTAGCTCACCGAATACCAGCCCAACAAATGTAACCTTTTTCAGTTTCCATTACTCTGTCGATACATTTCTAGTCTTCTCCAGCTCAGAATTTTCAGGAAATTTGAACCCTTGATTAGTCTTTCACCACTACCTTCCGGGCAACCTGTTTTCGGATACATAGGCTTTATATGCAGAGCCGGGGAGCCCGGAACTGGGACAAAAGGGTTGGGCCTTATAACAAAAGACCGAGCTCAGCACAAAAGACTGAGCTGCTGGGCATTACCAACATTTTTTCGCTCTCAATAGTAGAGATAATCCAGCCTTGTTTTGAAACAGTATACCACGGTTTGAGGCATGTAGAGCGAGCGGATTACCACCGGGGACAAAAGCTCTCCACCACCTCAGCGATGAGCCACACAGCACCGCTGCACGCTAATCTGGCCCCTATTGAAAAGAGGTCAGCAGTGCACTGTGCTGGTTTTGGGAACAAAAGAATCTTACGTAACACTCCACAATGTGGGCTCTTTTTCCAAGGCTGGAGGCCTGGCTGAAATATTCATAAGTCTATGAATTTTACCTGTAAGCTTTAGAGTAGTGCTCAAAGAGTCCTTTATTTTGGTATAAACGGCCATTAAATGAAATGATGAATTTTTGAAGAATTCTGAAAATAGAAAATCTTGAAAATGACCCGGCATCTTGTCTTGCTTAAGAAAAATCCACCCGGCAGAAAGTGGTTAACATATGGCTACTTTGCCTAAAACCTTCCACTCTAAATCCTATTTTGCGCGTGAAAACAGGAATAATCTGTTTTACTTTATTGAAGTTTTTCTTGTTTAATGTTTTGATGTGTTCATTTTTGCATTTTGGTAACTCAATGGGCAACCCAATAGATTTTTGTGATGCTCTAATCTTATTTTTAATCTGGCTGCAATTCAGCTTTGGAAATCATGGACAATCTAGAATTAACTATTTCAAATCAAATCAATTCAGATTCTGGAAAAAAGGGTTAATGATAAATGTTACTTTCCATATCAGAAGTAATTGACATTACGCATAAGCCGATGAAATTCAAAGCGAGTTAACTGTTTTTGAAAGCTAAGAGTAGAAATAAAAGCAATAAAACAACAATTCATGACAAGTTAGTACCTGCCTACAGTGATAAGTAATAACAAATCTGTCATCAGGCATACCTCAGTGTTTATGCTAGATTCGGAAAAATATAAAGGGAGGCTTGCAACACACGCCAATCATAACATAGTCTGGTACCATTCTGATCAAGAGTTCATTATTATCAAACAAATTCAGAGAATAAGGTCCAAAATGGCTTCCATGTAATTGTGGTCTATACATCTAGCCAGTAACGAACTTGGCTAACCTTCTTGAGGAGTAGGCTCTGCTTGTTGGTCATCTTCTCCAGCGCCTTGGCGTCGCTGTTGATCTTGTCCCCAAACTCCCGCTCTTTGTTCTTCTTGTCCTCCAGATCGGACTGCTTGGCCAGCTGCTCCCGGTTGAGGCTCTCGATCTGGCTCTCGAAATCCTCAATGCGAGCCTTGTTGGTTTCAATGGACATCTCCGTGCCTTGCAGCTCGGCCTGGCAGGTCTCCAGCCGCTGCTTGCGGTCTTCTACGGATATCTCTTGGAGCTCCTATGGCAATGAAACACAATCTTTGTTTAATCCTCTGGCAAGGATCAAATCCAGCAATGCACCGAGCAATGCCATCAAATTACAAAATATCAAGACTTAACAGGTAGTGAAGCTTAGATGGCCAAACAGCTGAACCAGAACATTTCTGTTTTGAGCTAAACTGATTTCTGGGGACACTGGGCATGACCTCTATCTTTGAAGACCTACACACCGATACATTGCACTTTAGTACACTAACTGCTGGCTCAGTTCCAAAGCTCTGCAAACAGGTTAAAACCGTTTTACGATTTGACCTTTTTTTTTCCAGGTTAGCCTGCTTAGCTAGCTACTGAGTTTGGAGTCTTTGGGAAACATGCGACTACATTACCATGCTGAAGGTTTCCTAAAGCTAACACAAGAGGGAGACTCACACAAACAGAAAAAGAAAAGATAAAAAATGAGAAATCTGAGCACCGATTATAAGAACGACTTCATCAAAAGAACAATGCTGGGCCACTTACAGCAACTAAGCGCTCTCGTTTCCTCATCAGATTTCCCGACAAAAGGTTCTCAATCTTGTTCTTTTCACCTTCCAGCTGTTTGTAAGAATGACAACGAAAAAACCTACTGTCTATCATCAATGTTGAGATGTGAAATAATATGAATTTGATTTCATTCAATCAAACATTAACCACCATGGATATACAGAGGTGGGATTCCACTTCATAGCTCACGTCAAGCACTGATTTTAACTCATCAATTACAAGTTATAAAGGCATTATGAAATGGCTATCCCCTTTTTTGGGGGAAAAATACTGCCACCAATATGGCCATGATCTTTTGCATTAATTGACCTCTGATCACAAGAACCTTCTAGGGCTTGTTTCAATCATATTTAACAATGCCCTCCCTCAATGGCCGAGATGATTGGGTCTGGTGGGGAAAATGACGCTGCTGAGCACTTTCGCGTCCGCAAAAGGACCGCGCATTCTAGCATAAACGAGTAGTGCGTGCTCTGCCCCACAAAGGGATGTCTTTGCTCTTGACACGGAGCCCAATGATTGCTACTAATTGCTCCTGCCTTTCTGGTTTGAATTTTCCATCGAACCCACAAGGCCTGACTGACGTACCCTGATCCTGTCAGCGAGAGCTTGTTTGTTCTGCTGGTTCAGCATCTTGATCTCATCATTTAGACTGTCTACCTCACGCTGGTCACCTACGCTCAACTGAGACATTAGATCCGTACCTGCAGGCCATGATAACACAAATACTATGTCATTCAAGAAATAACTTTGAGGTTTACCTTATCACACAATTCATGTAATTTCACCATCCAACTATCTTAATAACAGTAAGCAGTTACACAAATACATAAACAAACGTGTAGTGAGCAAATCATATAGAGAACAGAAAAATTAACAAATAAACGCGCTCTACATATAATTGTCAAAAGTAGTGACAGGTTTGTTTATGTATAGCAGCAAATGATCCAATGACGCACGTAACTTGAAAAGATATTTGAATTAAGCAGTTACATGTGTATATCCCGCCTTATCAATAATAATGGCTACAGAAGTGCAGAAAACAGAGATGCCACTAGCCTGTGCCAAAAAAATCGGAAAGTCGCACAGTGTCGGTTTTGTACGAATTAATGCATGGGTCTGTGTGCATGTACACAACATGCATCTTCATCGTGTAGTCGGCTATGAAAACAAAAAAGTCCTTTCTTCATCATCGTATTTTCAATCACTGACGACACCACTCAACGCTGTCCTTCGTATTTCGCGCCACAATATGACTAACGTAAGCACTCTATACTGATGACTGCACTCAAGATTAAGTACCCAGTCGTGCGGCGCAGGATACATGCGCATCATAGATTTGCTTCCTGTCTTTTCTTCTTTTTTATTCTTGTCAATGTTGAAAACATTGAAAGGGGAAATGCAAAAAATCAGATTTGGGGAGAAAAATACCAAAAGGTCAGATTTCCGATTAAAATCTGAAAAGTGGCATCTCTGAGAAACTGTCACTGGTTTACCCTGCAGCTACAGTTGCTCTGTTTCTTGGCGAAAGTTGAAACTGCTTACCAATTTCATCGTCCAGAGACTGGGCCGACCCCTTCATGGCTTCCAGACTGGTAATGAGACTAGAGAGGCGCCGCTCCTTAGGGGTCAGTGCCCTCTGGATGACCTGGCTCTCCTCCTTCATGATGCGCATGTCACTCTTCATCTTTTCATAGATGTCCCTGGTGAGCAGACAACAAGAGTTGGTTTTGAAAGGCATCAGCACTCAAACACACATTTTGTTTCCTGCAGAACCGATTCTTTTCCACTGCACTCATTCTCTGTCATGTGCACGTCACAGGACTGTGTCAACTGTCCATGGCCTTAAGGAAGCCGGATCAAGAGCCACATCCTGTGCATTTTCTCAAATGTTTTTAAATTGTGCCAACCTTCATTTGACATGAATCTTCTGAGAATTGGATATAATGTTCTACAAGGTGTCCATTTTGTACTCAAGATGGGAAGGCAAAAAGGGTAAAGTTTTCCCCTGACACATAACAGGCCAGCGGACTCATGTGAAAGAGTAAAAATGACTGCATAAAAATTACAAAACCCTTTGTTGTGTTGAGTTGAAACTTTACTGATAATGGACGTATTTGCATGCAGGTCAAATTTCAAAAAAAAGATTGGTCACATGACAGCAGGCAGGAGGAAATCAACTCAAATACCTGCCACTCTTTCTTTACCAAATTAAACTATATCGACTAATTATCTGACTTGTTTCATCTCTGAAAATCAACAACGCTGAGACTGTGGGCCACAGAACCTACTTGTTCTTCCTGTTCTTGGTCTCCATTTTCTGCATCTCGCTCATCAGCTGCGTCACCTCCACTTCCACCTGCTGCAGCTTTTCACGCAGCTCCTCGTACTCCTGCTCCTCCCGGCTCAGCTTCTGCCGCAGCTCCAAGATGCCACTCTGCAGCTCCAGCCGGGACTTCCGTGTGTCGTAGTAACCTCCCGTGATGGCACCACGACGACTGACCTGGTCACCTAGAAACAGGGACGAGTTGATCACAATTTTCATGATAGTTCAACATGAAAAATGATTTGTTTATATCAATAGTTAGCTTATTGCCTTTAAGAAAGATTCTGCTAGAATAAAAATGGCAGACCTCTAAAGTTTAAATTGACATATATTCACATTGTAATACACAATTGGTTTATTTTTCATCACCTAGAAACAAGGGCAAATTCCAACTAATATACACCATTTTTGTAGTATTGCTTATGAACTAAGGCAGTCTATCCATTGTCACAAAGTATTATTTATCTTACCTAAGTAATCAACAGAAATAACTCTCCAAAATCAAGGATGGTAGTGCTCAAAATATGTACTCTCAGCTCCTTTTCAGTATCAATTTATTTTGTGAACGATACCATTCAATGTTCCTGGCTCTACATCTGAAATACCTTCCAGGGTGACGCAGTCAAGATTCTGTGTTCGGGCAAACTGCGTCGCAACCTCAATGCTGCGGCAGATGAGCGTTTTGCCAAAGACGTGGTTCAGAACGGCCTTAAACTTGGGGTCATATTGGAGGTTATGTAGCATGGGCAAGGCATCCTGTGAACCAACAAAACGCTAGTATCTCAGATTTTATCTGAAGCAGGGATGATATTGACCAATGATAAAAATAGCTGAAGAGAGTTGAAAAAAGGCATATAGAAGCTGAACTGTGAAAATCTCTGATACTTCTTGACACAGCCACTGAGGAAAAAAAGCTGAAATCCGAAACAAAAAAGCTGAAATCAGTTAAAAAGCTGAGCAACCTCACCCCGCTGAAGTACAAACTCTCCAAAATCTTACGTATGACATTTTGGAAGGCTCGATGACATTCACACAGAATACAAACGGACAGCTCTTCAGTATTACTGTGATTCAGCAGCAAAGCACGATACAACATGATACACCCATTACCTTCCTATGTTTCAAATTAACTCATGGGGCAATATGGTGCTTATATATATTCGCACAGTGAGAATGCCTTGGCAGAAAGTTAAGTGTAGCAACGCATGATGCCCTGTGGGGCAAAGGTCAAACTCACAGGGGATTCTGGGTACTGGGTCTCGCGGTCCTCGAGGCGGTTGAGGGGGAAGAACGTGACCTCGCCGGGCATCTTGGACTTGTTCATCTCGGCCAGGATCTTGGTACTGATGACGTCCGTATCCACTATGTGATAGAACAGCCTGCATGATAAGTAGGCAGAATGATCAATGTAATCAGAAATTTAAATTATTCTTACGTAAAGAGGTTGTAGCAGCCAGCAGTTGATTCAGAGTATGTCACTCAATTGGAGCTATGCAGTCTGACTTTTGACACCCTTCTCTTTGTGTGAGTTGCTGCATCACCAAACTTTGCAGGAAAATTTTTGTGACAAACAGAAAAACTGTTCAAAATAACTTACTAATACACATTTCAGTGACAGCTCTGTACCTAACTAGTACTTCTTATTCTAACTTCTTAAAAGAACTGCGGGGTGACACCTATTTCAGGAAAGAACTTTCCACCAACAAAGGAATAAAAGGCAGCTTCTTCGTCATTATCGTATAAGTCGCACCTGTTTCCTGCTGTGACCTCTGTGCAGGTGTTGAAACGAGAGGCACACTGGAAGTTCTCGATAAGGACACCATGGTAACCTTCAAGCTCCCTGGTCATGCCCTTTGACCTGAAGGTATCCAAAACTCTCTTGATGCTGTCAATGCCGCGAAGTACAGCCTACAGTACAATTGGGGAGAACTTTGGATCATATAAGGACACAGCACACTTCTATTGCAGTGTAAATGTCAATAATTTCTTTGTGGGCTGGTCATATGCGACCAGACAGCACATGCTAACACTGATAATCATGGTTCTATGTCACTAAGCAAGACACTTTACAACAATTGCTTCTGTCAACACAAGATCAAAATTGTTGTTAACTACATCGATCTGCTCTAAATAGGTTGTCAAACTATCGGAGGGAACTATTTCCACTAGCGATTAAAAAAATGACAGAAAAGCTCAGAGTGGCAACGTCACAAACAGCTTGGCTTCTATGTGCGGGAACCAGTGTGTCTGTGCGTCCTATGCTGAAACTCAGTTCCAATGAAGTCTCTTCATTGCACTTTGGCAGTGATGAAACTGACCACCCATGACAAATCCATACTGCAGTTACAAATGAACCTAAGGACTTACTCCAAATCCAATCCTTTACCAACTTGCAGCCAAGACTGCCCACATGCTTCTTACTGTGTGCCTACCTTGCCTGTCATAGAGCGAAGCGTTTGTTCTTTCTTGTGTAGCTCCTCCTTCGTTGTTGCAATCTCCTGTTGAATGCTGTTCTCCTGCCGCCACAGGGAACTATGACAATGCGAGTAACATCAGAGACATCCTTTAGCTTTGTAATATTCATGAACAAGAAGCTACGGGAAACAATGCAACCCTTCATAATCTTTTTTCCGGTCAACAAGCATCAGTTTCATTGTACTCGGCGAGGTTTTCTACAATATAAGTTTGCTCCAACTTTGCACTTTCAGGTAGGTTCGGTATTGTTTGTAGATCCGTACCATAATCACATCTTAAGTCGACGGTCATTATCTGAACATTACCTGCACTATAAGCAAAACCAGTTCTGAAATTCAATTTGTCAATCAGGAAAACGGTTGAATTTAAGTGCAACAGGTCCATTCCCATACTGAACTGCTGCCTTGTCTATGATCTTTAGAAAATTGTGTTCAGTTTTTCCCAATGTGGGATCAGAAAATAAGTTTTTCCCTGATGACCCTTCAGTATGGGCTAGGGGTGGGTGGGATGAGGCTGGGGCCGATACTTGGATGGGATTGGCGTCAGTGAATTAAGGCAAGGATCAGGCTGACGCACAAACTTATAAATGAATATTCAACACAATAGCTCACGCCACTCTCCATTGGATTCTGAATTAAAAGAAAGCTGTGCAAACTCACTTCCTCTCGTTCTGAAGTTCGTCTTTGCGTTTCTTTTGGTCATAATGACTGCGGTTGGAAGAATCGACCGAATCCTTCATCTGCTCAATGTCAATGTTCAGTTTGGCCATGCGGGCCTCAAGGTCTTCGTTCTTCTTCATGTCAGAGGCAATGTCTTCCCGCTGACGAGCAATCTAAATAAAAGTAGGGGGGGGCCCAATTTAAATGCTGAACTTTTTTATTCTAAGCTTTTCTAAAGAGAACGAGAATGTTAAAAAAAGCTCTCTTAATGGTTTTACTATAGAGATCTTATGCAATTAATGTAGAGATCTTAGGCAATTATCTTTCAGTAAAATAACCTGGATCACAGTCAATCACACTGCACTCCTCCCCACAAAAAAATCATTAAAAATAAAGCTGAATGCAAAACAGGCCAGCCTCTGATTACAAAATCATTGACTCCAAGCAGCTCTTATGTGTCATGTTTGCAACACTCGGTGTGTCTGTATAGGGTAGCGAAGTGAATACATCGCACAATTATATGTGTAAAAGACACTGGTGCGAGAACAGCGTTGTGCACCAACACATGCATGTACTTCATTTATTTGTACTACACTTATGGTTCAAAATGACGTCATGGTTTGGCACTCTATGGCATATCACTCCATCGGATTGTTTGCATGTGAATTTGTCTCAGCGATGGGATTAGTTTTTTGAGCGGCACAAGAATCAAATGCACTACGGCAATGAATGTCTGATATCTACCTGTTCCTCTTTGTCCTTGATGGCTTTGTTCAGTGACTTGAGTTCTTTTCGGATCCATTTGTCTCGCTCATCACGGGTGGTGAACTGGTTTCCCCTTCCCTGCTTGGCGAACAGCTCGGTCCGTCTCTGCTCACACACCTGGAGCCTTCACGAATGAAGACAATGAAACCGTTAAAAACAAAAACCTCCATTGCAAAGACAGTAAGGAAGTGAAGATGAGTCAGCATTTCAAAGAACAGTACTGCCAATGCGGCACTAACATTGACCACCACCCTTTCAGTGTTAAATTCATGGGATTTAGGCAAATTTTGTAAGACTGAGGAAGGCACAAGCCAGCCACTACAACCAGATGCAGGGTTTAATGCCTCTTGAATGTTGAAGTGCAAAGAACGAATTTCAAGGATTTTCAGAATTTGGGAAAGTTCACTGCAAAACATGCCTGGGGAATTAAGGGTTACCTACACCCCAAACTTAACAATGAGCCAGTTCCGTATTCCAACAGAACATGCCCAAAATAAAGCGCATTCAAAGTCATTCCGGAACAGCACAAAGTTTGCCCTACTAGAGCAGCCATACACCTACTCGCAAGCATGCCTTGTTCTCGAATGACCTTACCTTTTGGAAATACTGGCACACTGAGAGTAAAGAATCACTCAGAGAAGAAACAGCTTTTCAATTTCATTCAAACAATTTGGTTCACTTTCATTTGCAAATCTGATCAATACAGGGAAGACTAGAATTCTGAGCAGGCTTTAGCACATGATGGAGGAAGCTAAAACAATGGCCTGTGAGAGTTCTAACCTGGCAGTACAGCGTTCTTCCTCTTTCTTCAGCTCCTCATATCGCGGCATAATCTGGTCCAAGTCTGTCTGTTTTTGCTGGATAGTGCTGTCAAGCTTCTCCAGCTGATCTTCAATGCGACTCTGTAGAAGTGTCAGAAAGAACTTGACGCTACTGAAGCTAAGAGTTGTCTGTCCAGCTCTGGACATGGTTTTGTCCTTATAGCACCAGAAGCAAAGTTCGCTGACTGAAATGTCTAAAAATATGGAACTCCAATCTCCATGCAACTGAAAGCTGGGTCTGCCAGTCTGCCATGAAGTTAGCATCAGCAATGTACACAACACTCGATAAGAATGAAGTGAGAAGTGTCAAAGGCATTGCCTGTAGACGTGCATACAAAACCAAGTGTCTGGTCTAATGCAATGAAAGCTAAGGCCAAATGTGCCCCAAAGCAAAGTGTCTACATGAGCTTGAAAATCACTTTAGATTTGTGGAAATTGCTTTAAAAAGGCTAGGGGGGGGGGTAAAGTCTAGTACCCTGTTTTCAATGTCTCACCTTCGCATCCATGTCACCATTGACTTCTTCCTGGAGATCTTTGACAGCTAGTTCCAGTTTGGCCCGCCGTTTGAAGAGCTCCTGCCTCTCATTCAGCAGCTGGTCACGCTCCTCATTGGCTGACCGGATGCGTCCTTTGAGCTCCCGCAGCTCTTTGTTCAATTGCTGCCAAAAAAAGAAGCAAAGAAAGGTCAATACCAAAGCATTATATACTCAAGGAAGTTTATATCCAAAATAGGTCCTTCTCAACACTGTTCAATGATTGCCAACCTGTATTCACATATTTCAGAAGAATTGAAACTTAGGTAAAATACGTCCACAAGTAAAATCTGTCATGGATACTGGAAAATAGTCAAATAGATGGAAGCTATGACAACCCTACTAAATGCATGGCCTTCCTTAATCTGTACACAAGTGAAACAGGAAACGTTAAGCCATCTATTGTTTCTGGGATACAAAAAATATATTATTTGATGTACAAACTGTATCGTTATTGTTCAACTGACATAATAACCCATATTATTTCTCCTACCTTGATTCTTTTGGAAGCTTCTTCCTGGGCATCTCGCAGTGTTTTGGTGACTTCACCGCTGTTCTCACGTTTATTGGCGAGCTGAGAAATAAAAGAAGAAAGTTATCATGTTTTTCTTTAAAAAGGCAAGCCAATGTAAACAATGATCCAATGAATTCTGTCACTGAGCTGACATTACACACTTAAGAAAAGAAGCAGACGTATTGTCAACACAAAGAAACATGGATATGTTTTGTGTACTTTTGAACAAGCATCAACACTCCATTCCAGAAAAAAAAATTAAGGTGAAAAATCCAAAAGTAGAGGCAATTTCAAGCACAAGCCTTCAAATCTTTTGATTAAAAACCTTGCTAACATGTCTTAACAGTGGCTCACTCTATCCCACACAATTTACCATAAACTCTTTGTTTATCAGAACTATTTTAAAACAAAGAATACCTCATCAAGTTTCTTCCTTGTGTCTGTCAGCTCCTGATTGTGAATTGTGTATTCCAGTGAACTAAAATAAAGACAAATTGTCAAATAAATCTCTCACATGAACCAACTTCATGTATCTGTACACTTGGCCAAAAACTCCTCCAGTAGAGGAAGAAATAAGGGAAACAGACAAAAAATCCCTTCAAAGAGGACATTTTCACATGCAACAATTGACAGTATATTCAGGCCAGATCTAATTTCTGACAGTTTCATTACTACATATACTGAAAACACGTGATAAATAATTTACATTCAGGCAAACTCTCAATTCTGATTGGTCGATCCATGGCAACAACCAGTATGATAAAAACTGTATTGCATGGTTCATATCAAACCCTGCGTAATGCATTGTTCTATAACTCAAACGCACTGTGCTATATCTACGCTAAAAGCAAAATGCACAATTGCCAAATTTACTGTAAATTCAAAGGTGGCGTGTTTGCGTGCAGAGGCCCTATAGCATCTTAACTGGGTGTCAAGTTTGCTTGAAGATAAACTCGTTAACATACTCGTGCTTCGGTCGTGGTACAAGGGACATAGATGCACGACATTATTCTGTGTTCCACTCGCACTCATGTGGTACCTAATAGTAAGCTAATCCAACAAAGTAAGTCACAACATTTGATCTGCTAAAATGAGTGGGAGTTGGATATATTTGGCTTCTTTATTGTGGTCTCACCGTCTCATCTTGTCCCACTTTTGGTATTGCTTCAGTTCTTCTTTTTCCTCTTCGAGAGTCTGGAGTCGCTCTTCAATGTACTTGAGAAGGTCTTCGATCTTCTCCCGTTTTCCCTCTGAATGAGTAACAGTGACAGAGGTGCCATTTTATGTATACATGTTAACCAGAACAAGATTACAGTCCCTTCAATGGGTTACTTTGGAAAGCTTGCAGAGGCCTTGGCTGGCAACCATTTTCTATCTAAGGGCGCTAGCAATAAATGATCTCTTTCACAAAATTCTCTGTAGGAGACAGGTGTCAAATAACTATCCTAGGTAGGTAATTTGGATTATCACGGCACATACAGAGTCTTGTGCACAAGCACATCTTCATCACGGGTCGCCAAAAGAAAACATTTCTATCCAATGAGAGCGTGATAGAGATCACTAGCATCCTTCATTTGAGATCTAGAGTTTAAGTGAAATATAGACCAGCACTCTCACACAGTCTTCACTGATATGTCCCTGTACTTCTCCAATCCACCATCTTACTATAACCATCCAAGCAGTGTACAGACTCATTATGTGAGGCAATGTATTGGCTAACTGGTAATGCAAAATGATGTGTTTACTGAGGATTCACTGCTACCACTGAAATATAATGTGACCCATAATATACAGCCTGATCGAATTTCACATAAACACTGTGGCAATAGGAGGTGTTGGAGACCCTTGGTGGCAGCAACCGTAACGATTCCAGGCCACCAGTCTGGCACGGTTTGACTGTGCGTACATTAGCTCAACTTTGATGCAAAAACAGAAAACGCCTGGTGCGCTTTGTGCCACCAAACGTCTCAACAGTCCTCGATTCATTCCATATTTTCTGTTCATGGATATTTTCCATACGGACTGTTTCTTGCACGGTGACACACATCCACACTTAACCCTAGACAGATACTGACCTGTTTCTTTCAGGATGAGCTGGCTCTCTGCCTTACGTTCATCGTAGACACGGGTGCCAGCCACCTCACGAAGGAGCTTCAGCCGCTGTGAGTCAGGTGCGGTTGCCATCTGATTGATCTATCACGAAGAGCAGAGGCAAATGCTGGTCATCAAAGAGGACTCCCATAGGCAAATAACAAAATGCCAAGTGGGGTACTTGCATTATGAATAAAAATGCATTTTAAGACCACATGTCTAGAAACTCAAGCTAGACAGGGGACTCGCAAAATATATCAATGTAAGAAAACCCAATTAACTGAAACTTTCTGAAAAAGGTTGAAAGTTATTCTTTTTTTCCTTTGGACAGAAACATCTTTGGGAAATATCGGATTTGTGGAACTGAAAAAATTAACTGATGGACATTTCAAGGCATATATTTCAGAAATTAACTTGTGCTCCAAAGATCAAAAGATATCTTTAGAATTTCCTTCAATTCACAGCTGGCTAACCTAAACTTTTCGGGAAGCTGTGTGATTTGGTTAATTGACACATTTAAGTTCAACATACCTTTCTAGTCGAATGTCAATTTTTTAAAGCATTTTTAAGTGTTTAAAAGCCAGACTTTATGTTTGGCACTTTCGCTTGTTCCAAGAAATTAGCCCCACTTCAAGAAAGCAACCCCCCAAGGAAATAACAATAAATTACTTACCTTTCCCTGCTTTACAATGTAGTAAGGATTACTCCTAGAAAATCCTGCACTCTCCAAAAGATTCATCACATCAGTTTTCCTGAAAACGTGGAAAGTGCTCATAAATTGCATGTCCAAAAATTTGCTCTTCAGTTGCTTTAACCCTAACCCTACATAATACTACAAATTACTACTTGTGGTAAAATGTAGACTGACTGCTCTCGCTTGTAAGAGGACATGACTTTATTGTTCTGTGAAGCCATAAGATACAGTAGATAAGACAATGTATCATACAGTGCTGTGGCACTATGAATGCATGGCTTTATTGTTCTCTGTACAAGTAACAATGCCAGTAACCTAGCCAGAAGAAGTAATTTGTAGCGCTAGGTCCTTCAGGCTCAGACTATTACACAGTATTTTGTAGTACTGTGTAGTGTAAGCCGAACAATATGCTTGGCGGTCAGGGTTAAGCAGTGTTTCAGTGACAGAGCACTTTCATGAGGAAAGCAACTGTCATGCACATGCACGTTAACCACTGCAGACTCACTGGAGTAAACAATACAGTCAACATCTATAGTTGCTCCTTTGAAATCGAGGTGGTTAGAAATCTGAGTAGTATACACAAATCTCCTTTGGTGTGTTATACGAACATCTGTCTCCTAAAATCATTTCAATTTTAAATCAGTGTGAGGTTATCTCCAACAAGACCAAACCTCTCGGTAATGTCTGGTATGTTTTAGAGTCATTACTAACACATTCCCAGACAGTCTGTTGCTGGTACAACCCACAAGCAAAAACAAGTCCACAGAGCTTCCTTACGTGACCATTTTCTTGTCCAAGAAATACTGATCCTTCTTTGATCCGATCACACGCCGCAGTGTCACCTCTTCCTTTTCTATCTAAAATGAAGAAACAGAATTGTACCATGTAAACACCTTCACTGTATGAGTCTGTACTCACGACTACGGACTGCATGACAAAAATGGTACTTTTTATACAAATATTTCTGAAAACGGTGCAAAAAATGAACTGCTTGGAGACACCATTACATAGGTGAATACATAAGACACAACTGATCAATATATCTTACTCAAGCCTCACTCTCTTCCAGGTACATATAGAGGCTGTTTTGGAAGGACATAACATTGTGAAGGTTAACATATGCTCATGGCTTTTCATACCTGGCAGATGTCATTTGGAACCAGCTATCTGTACACAATCGGCAAGTAGATTACCTATTTAACAGACACAATCTTCCCAACTGATAAAAACATGATTTTGCCATTTTCAATCCAACTCATATTCTTCAGCCAGACGTGCCAAAAAGTAGAAAATAAATACGGTTTTATACTGCTTCGTAAACTCAATGATAGTGGTCCAATGCTTTACCAAGGGGGGCAACTGTGCATGGTATACAGGCACATCAGTGCTCAAGATGAGCTCCAATAGAGGACTGGCTGAGGTTGACAGACACCTGAACGGTCTTACAAAAATTCTTCCACTCCCACATAAAAAATACTAAAAAAACCCCCAAACTTACTGGTATCCTGTTGTCTGAGTTGTCAAATATGATTTCCACAAATGCGGAGATGACGCGGGGCCCGGTACCCTCATGCAGTAATGACTGTCGCTGCTCAGGGCGCAGGTTGTTAAACTCGTCACTGAGCACAAACTGTATGGCTGTTGGCAGAGAAATGTAAAGACAGCTCAGACGTAAAAATGATAACAACTGGATTTGACTCATTCTTAACAAACATACAGTATGTATCACCTTAAGAAAATCCCCGGTTGACTGTTAACCTCCAAGTACTTGTTTATTGCTTCAAAGTCTGGACGGTTCTTGATACACCTCATTCCTAATCTCATAATGGTAATCCTAAACAGCAGGTAATTACTACAGAGAATAACAGCAACAGACACAGGAAATGTGCAGGAAAACCAACTCACCATAAAAAAAGTTGCTCTTGCCTGATCCATTTCGTCCAACTACAAATACAAAACCCAAATGAATTTCATCATTATCAGCTGATATCTAACTTCAAGATGTATGAAATAAATAAGAATGCCAGTTAAATTTAATTTAATTAGCAACTTTGTAGCAACTTTGTGAAATTCACAGTTGGTTTCACCTCAAAGAACTGGGTTATATTACCACAGTGGAAGAAATATATATTTTTGGCTGACCTGTCTTTAATAGAGAAATGCACAGTGTGCAAGAACAGTACTTTCACTTTTCCAAAAAATTCCTACAGGCTCAGCTCCTGAAAAAATTGCACTGCGGCGATATCAGAAGTATGTCAAGGGGGCAGATTCGCCCCCCTCCCCCGGCACTTTAAGTTTTAGAGTTTAAGTATGATAATTGATGGAGCAGCCTTTTTCATCTTGTTTAAAACTGGTCAACAATTGCAAGCCTAAGTGAGTTTGTCTCTACTTTTGCCATAACTATGAATTATGTTAATCACAATATCACTTAGCAGTACATACAACATGCCTGGGCCATGTGCATGTAAGCCTATGCCAGAACTGTTATTAAATTTGGGAATGGTGTGCTCAAAAAAGGCCAACTAACCCACAACATTATGCTTTGGACTGAAGGGCTCTATGACAGTTTGATCCCGGTAACTTCGGAATCCTTGGATGGTGACCTGCAAGTCAGAGTAGAAACAAATATGAAACTCTCAGTTAGCCATGTGGGGTAGCATGGGGCATGTGTGGGAGGGGCATGGTTAGAAAGTTGAGAAAACAAATGAGCAGGGATGAAACAAACAGGTAACAAAATACAGGCCTAGCCTTGAGGCTAGGCCTAGTATGCCGGGTATCGGTCCCATGCCACTTCGCCCCTAACCACTTCGCCCCATCCCCACTTCGCCTCATCTCCACTTCGCCTCATCTCCTCTTCGCCCCATTGATTATCGTTCATTTTATTCTTTCGTAACAGAGGCATAGGCCTAGATGCAAAAAGTAAAAACATTGACGTTTGAGTATCCAAATAACGATCGGAGAATCTAACTTTCAAAGGCCAAAACAATGATTCCGATTTCCCAACCGCCGGACCCAAATTTTTTGGCGAGACCCTAAAATTTTTATTGGCAAGTTAGGAAAAAAAAACTTTTCTTTGTGTTCCGTTGTCGTGGTAAAAACATGCACGCAAAGCTCTGGTTCCCGCCGCGCCGCGCCCGTGTAACAGAATACGTGATGGAGTTTAACAACCAGTCCATTCATGCGCAGTTACCGTACATGGGTATTTTCTGTGTTCATCAGTATAATTTTAGGCTGTTTTGCTCATCCTTAAAGCAAGCATATTTCCAAAAGATTTCCTGACCGCCAAGCTTCATCCAATTGCCTGGGTACAGCTGTCTGGATGCATCGACAATTATTACCAGAACGATGTGAACAGAATTGTGTGTGTCGCTTTGGAATAAATTTGGAGAGGATGAGAATTAACTTAGATGCTAGTCCATCCATATGCATTAATTCACCATAATGGACATGGCAGGTGACATTAATTTAATGCCGTAGAGTTTTCTATAATAACTAACTAGGCCTACCATGCCTACATCATCGGTTGTAGAACTCCCCTCTCCACCATTTTTTGAAGAGGCTTGTAACACACTCGAGAACGGACAGCAAAGTGGAAATGGGGCGAAGTGGGCTGGGGGGGAAGTGGAGATGGGGGCGAAGTGGGTTAGGGGTGAAGGGTTAGGAGCGACGTGGAAATGGGGCTAAGTAGTGAAGTGACTCGACTAAGTAATAGTAATGCCTAGCCTACATGGCCTACATGCAGAGGTAAATTTATATAAAGATAGCATGTTCACAGAGTTTGCTGTTTTGTAGACAAGTGGGCACGGTTTATGTAAGGTGTGGGCTGCATCCGAATTGTTCAGTTAAATTACGCTACCTGCACGGAATCATGTATACTGCGAGCCTATTTTGTTCATGTCGGTCGCGGTAAAACTTGTTTTAAAGCCTCCTCATCAAAAGAAAAACTAACCTGTTTTATGTACATCTTTTCTAAGCTGCAAGACCTTTCTTCTGGGACAGCCTCACAAAATTCAATCAAGGGTCTATCATAGCACAGAAATTAATAAATCGGTCATTGCAAAGCTGCAAAATGCGGGGAAAATGATCACACAACAGGGTTTTGTTGAGCACAAAACCAAAATGGCGCGCTTCTGGGTCTGGGTAACTACCATTTTTGGCAGGTACGTTTCCACAACTGAGGGATCAAAAGGATTCTGCAATTGTCTTCACAACCTCACATACTTTTTTGAACTCATAAATAATATAAAACTGGACAAAATTGTAGCATTAAAAAAAATACTACCACAAAGTATGCACATATATTTTCTTTGAATTTTGAGTGTTTTGTAAGAACACGTCACACCTCAGTTTATATTAATAGAGTCTCTTGTCAAACCACGAAAAGAAGAAAAGTAGGCTACCAGCCATTTTGTGCAACCGCTCTTCAAGTCATATGTAATGTGGTTACCAGTTTTACCATGTATACAAATCTATATATTTGCAAAAAGTGGCAATTTTGTCGAGCCGGGGGATTAGCTCAAGTGGTAGAGCGCTCGCTTAGCATGCGAGAGGCACCGGGATCGATACCCGGATTCTCCAAGTTTTTTTTCATTCATTACAAAGTAGAAAATAGTTCTTCCGTTTCTTCTCTTTATTTGGCTACCTTTTTTATTTTCCAATAGTTCTCTTGTCATAAAACCCTTACAGTTTATTGAAATATCTTTTTCTCTTACATTACTACGAAAAACACAGAGGGCCTAAGTAATAACTTACTTTTTAATAAAATCTGTCAGTCGGAGCTTGCTCAAATTTAAATTACTTTAAATCTGGATTATCGGGCCATAACGATATCTTGAAAGTCTATATAAATTAATAACAGCTTGAATTACAATGCCCCCAGTGTCTAGTCCTCTCCAGATGTAGCAAATGCTTCTATTCTTAACTTAAAATAGATGAATTTCATGGGCCAACTATAGTGGCATGTTGGTTTCAAAGGCGAAGCCCTCGCCAGATAGAGAATTGAAGAAAACGACCTAAAAGCTCAGACGATCCAGTAATGGTCGTGTATGTACATGAAAACGAAAAAGTGCCAAAAAAATCATTTTCCATGGTTACATGTTCACGTTAGGTTATCGTTCGACGGTAGCTATACGATAAAAGTCGGTAATTTGGTACACTTTTTTTATTTGGGAGCCTATCTAATCAAAAGTTGGAACTTGGAAGACGCATGTGGGGTAAACAGACTAAACAGATTTTCCGACCCCCTCCCCAATAAAAAAAATCCTGGATCCATCCCTATCAATTACTTAAATCATTATGAATTTTCAACAGCTGCACTTGAAGACTTTTTTGAAGATTCTGAGTGGGGCTTGCAGTTTTTTAAAAAGTACGATGAAATTAGAATCCAAAACTCTCAATTTAGTTTACAAAATTGGTACAAACATTTTAAATTACCCAAGACAAAGGCAAAGCGCATGCATTGCTTCCTGTCTGGATCACTTCATGCACGAGTCTATGGCTGTGGCTGCAGCCCTTTCCCATTGAGTTGTGTGTGAGTTCAGGCCTCAGCCAAGTCATTCAAGATACGGCTTTTTATGCAGCGCCGCATGTGCTTGCTGTACGTGTATGTACGGGATGACGAAAGCGCAAACATGGCGGCTTCCACAGCGAGCAAGGTGCAAGCGTTGTACTCGGAGTTAAACCGAGCTGGCCAGAATGGGGACTACCAGAGGGCTTTAA